CCCCCTTGGTACCGGGGATTGAAAGCAGAATGAGACCCTGTCTCAGAGAAAACAAAAACAAAAAAATAAACTACAAAAGACAACACACATGTTGCTCATAGAGTCATGAGTAAAAGTGCAAAATAAGCATGAGAATGATAAACATTAAAGTAAGAAGGAAAATGGAAGAGTATATGTGGGGCTTCAACTATACCTGTAATGTTTTACTTTTATAAGAATATAGAACTAATGTAATTAGGATAAAATGTTTAAATACTAAGACTCATTCATGAATGAGTATGTTAGCTGTTATTCTTTTTGGAGTTTGAAATATTTCATAACTTTTTGGACAATGAAAATGCTCAGTAGTAAAAACAATTAAAATGCCAATTTCCTTTAATATACAAATACAATTTTTCCCCTTCACTTGGCACTCTTCAGGAAATTAGCTATTTTGATTATGTCAGAGCTTACTTTGAAATTTGTTTTTCATGTGGTGATTACTTATTGGCAGCTAAGCACATACTAAACTTTAGATTTATCAGTCATTGTAGGAAAGAATTGGGATCTTATGTAATATAAAATTAATTTCCTCTATCCAACTTACAAATATTATGAAAAATATTTGAAGCTGGGTATGCTTTTGCTTGTCTATAATTCCAGCCCTCTGGGAGACTAATGCAGGAGGACTGCAGGTTTGAGCCTAGCCTGGGCAACTCAGTAAGATCCTGTCTGAAAATAAAAAATAAAAAAGCATTAGCATGCAGCTCAGGGAAAAAATCACTGGGTATAAGCTCCAATAATGGGGGAAAAAAAGAAGAAAGAAAATTTGGCTTGTATTTTTAAGATTGTTCAGAATTCAAATAGTTGATTTGGGCAGATTACAGCTCTGTGGTATGTAAAAAATATATAAATTCCATTTGTCTGCTGTTTCCTAATTTTAGATCATAATGTGTCTAAAATAAGTGCCTGAAATTTTTTCCCTCTAGTGTCTACACATCAGATCCTTTAGCAACAAACACCAATGATTTTCAAAAACTTTATAGCAATAAAATTTAGTGGCAAAGGTTGAAGCACTGCTTATAACACCTGCTAAATTACAGACATATTTTATATTAATTAGAGATTTTTAAAGCATATTGCTTATTCAAAAATTGTTTAGAAATGAACATAACACACACAGTATTTGAGAAAACAATCACAGAAAACAAACTGAATTTTATGTATATTTTTCAGAAATAGCCAGGGATTTAGCTCAGTGGCTCTGCTGCCTGCCTCGCAAGCACAAGGTCTTGAGTTGGATCTCCAATACCAAAAAAAAAAGAAAGAAAAAAAAAAGTACACCAGAAATATATTACATACTTACTTTGCTTTTTACTTTGTTTTTGAGACAGGGCTTGCTATATAGCCCAGTCTGACCTTGAAATCACAATCCTCCTGCTTCAACATTCACACCTGGCCTATTTCTTTACATATTCCAAGTCCTAAACTTTAAGGCTGGAACTAAAACATTGTAAGAATAATTGTAGTTGAAAGCAACTTTGTTAAATCATATGATAATGATACTTACTAAAAATAAACTTTCCAGTATTAAAGAGAAAATTAGACATAAGCACCCAATAAACTATCATTGCTCCAATGAGAGACACCAATGAGCAAAGGAGACTTGACCACTGCCCAAAGGAGCCAAAATAGTATCTGCAGACATCTGGATATTCCCAGGTAGTGGTATCCAATGAACCTAGATAAAAATAAAAGAGAATGGATAAAAATAAATGTTGATCTAGGGGCCAGCTCAGTGGTGCTGCACCTACCTGGCAAGTGTAAGGTCCTGAATTTGATTCCCAGTCACCCCCCAAATAAATAAATAAATGTTGATCACATATCCATAATTTAGCAAATGATTTCAGGTACTTTACCACCAGATATTGGAACACATTATGATATAATAGCAATGGAAATATAATGGAACAAACATAAAGAATTGTCAAGCAATGAAATAATATAGGTAATCCAAAAAGCAAAGCATCATAATCTTCATAATTAATAAAAGCAAGTGATAAACCAAGCCTTGACAAACCCATCATTAAGAGACAGAAAACATTATTTAATATTTGCCATAGTCAGATAACAACATAAAGTTCTCTCGAGTCATGCCACATATTGATTTAAATTTTAGGTAACTGACTTGAGTTAAAAAAATAAAATAACAGAAAAGTTAGAAAACATAGAAACAGGGCTGGGTATTTAGCTCAGTGGTTCCGGTACCTGCCTTGCAAGTGCAAGGAACCGAGTTTGATCCCCAGTATCAAAAAAAAAAAAAAAAAAAAAAAAAAAAACCA